TATCAAATGACAGGTGTTTTGATAGTTATTATTAACCCTTTAGTTGACCTCAGACTTCACAGAGAGGTGGAGGAACATCAAAGTGAAAAAATTCGAGTGGGTGGGGGAATAGAAGAGTGTTTCAAAGATGTAAAAGAGACAGACACAAATGTAGAAAAAAGGTGAAGTGAATACTGTGGAAGTAGTCGAATATGACATACAATGGGGTGATGGTAGTTTAAAGTGAGAAGTCAACTGCCGGTTAATAGACATTTTGTCGTATGAGTATACGTCGCCCAGTGTGCACCACGTGGAGGTAAGTCTATCGCACACTCTACTTCTAAATATAGAAGGTGTTACATTTAAAGAACATTCTTAATACTGAGAATAGGTGAGGATTCCAATGTTGGGACGGTGAGAAGATACGGCAAATTAAAACGATTGAACCCAGGTGGCCAAAAAAACAGCCAGACTACGGAACTGTGAAATAATCGAATTATCCCAATTTTGGCCTTAATTTTACAGCACTTGTCGTATTACGCTCCAATTGTGGGATCTATCTGTCATCATACAAAACTGAAATGAGGGTCATTCGATGTCAAAGCTTTCGGTTATACACGTTGCGAACATGACAACACCATGACATTCACATAAAATCATAATTTTTTTCAAAAGTATGATTAGGCAATTTCTAACATTTATTTATTTATATCAAATGGCAGGCATTTTGATAGTTATCATTAGCCCTTTAGTTGACTTCAGGCTTTGCAGAGGGGAAGGAACATCAAAGTGAATAATAAGTCGAGAAGGGGGGGGGGAGGGAACAGAAGAGTGTTTCAAAGACGAAGGTAGAAAAGGTAGAATAAAGGTGGGGTGATTACTGTGGAAGCATTCGACTATGACAAACAGTGGGGTGATGATAGTTTGAAGTCAGAAGTCAACTGTCGGTTAATAGACTTTTTTGCCCAGGGTGCACCACGTGGAGGCAAGTCTATCGCACACCCCGCAGTTTCTAACATTTAACCAACCCGACGGACGCATCGGCAGAAATTTGGGCAAGAGGCAACATCAATTGATTGAGGGACTCTCGTCTGAAGAGCATACTTGAAACAACACATTTGAAAAAGAGTTGCTTACACGGGAAGCCATTTTTTGGTGAGGAAGCAAATTATTATTTCAGCTTTTAAACAATTACACACACGCAAAGAGGTCAATAAACTCGTTCAATTACTGTTTGAGCCGAAGAGCTTAGGCGAATTGGCTCCAGAATGTTTGGAGAAGAGTCAGCTGCACGGAAATCACTTTTTCAAAACAATATGAATCAATACTATTATTTCCCGTTATGTCAAATCAAAGAATTATTTTTGGGTGACTTTGAAGTCAATTGAGACTCATTAGGATTTAATGGATGGGTAATCTAAATCCAGACAAAGAAAATCGTTTCTGAGTGAGGAGAGGGGTTAGTGGAATTGAGGGAAAAGTGGGGGGGGGGGGGGGGGANAGTGGGGGAAAAGGGGGGGGGGGGGGGGGCGAACATTCTGGAATTTTCCTTTTATCGAGGCGGTCACTAGAAAATGATTCACGCATTTGAAGGCTTGGAAAAATACGAATCTGACTTGGAATAGCAACTAGTTCTGTGGTCACCTGTCTTGAATGCCACCGACATCTGTCATATACTCATCAATTTGAATAGGTCACGTGATGATGTGGCAGTTGAATTTTTATTTATTAACCAAATGATGTTAACCCACATCTTTCCGACTTGGCCCAGGGCTTTCTTTTTACAGATGTGGGTGTGGTCTATTCCTTAAAGAACACGACAGCGAGGTTATATATGACGCTGAAGTGAATTTCAGGCTATCACGCAGTCCAACGGAATCAGAAAGTTGGCAAGTGAAGACCCACACTCGGGCAGTACCCACGACGGCTTTTGGAACCGTCGAATTTCAAGGTGGTCCCCATCCTACCAAAGCGAGAGTAAGTTCTTCTGTGACATATTTTCATTCATACATACTTGATCTTCCATTACCATCGAACTTCATATTAGTCGACGAAGTCCATGCAGAGGCATATAGTCGTACATTTGTTTAGAAGGTGAGATTTTATCTCCAATCACTACGTTCGATTCACGGTTATAAAGAACTTGGACTCAAAGACTTTGAGCTTCAGTTGGTGCCATCTCCCAATCTAGTGAAAGCTGGAGTCTGGCGTCTTTTTGCAATGTAAGGATATCACCGAAATGTTGGATTTCACCTTTGTGTTCTCGTTCTCAAGTTCTTAAGGATGCATGAGAAGTCAATTTCTTGTGGAATCTAGTTTCCAAGATTTGATTGCTCTTAGGCCTTCATTGACGCACATTTCACGATGGAGACCTACGTTTCTGATTCCAGAAAAATATGTAGCTTCACCACTCCTATCGAAATGCATGCAGCACATTAGGTCGGTATAAATTCGCCATTGAAATATTTTCCAGCCCTGAAAATAACTTTCTAATCATATTACTCGTTTCAATTATAGTCCTTGATCAAATATCTCTTCTGATAGTGAATGAATTAAGGTTCAAATTCACTGAAATAAAGTGACCACACCTGTCCAATCACATCATGTGAGTACAAACCTTAACAACGGCCGACTTTCCTAAAGACCAAATTAAATTTCCAATTTTATTGAACAACGAATGAAGATGCTCCAATGAAAATATTTCGAGGTGGAGGTGACAGTTGTGCTCTGTTAAATTCCGCTCACAAAATTAACAATATTTTTTAAGGATAGTCGGTAGACAAGCATCTTTTCCAAGTCGAGAGACAACATCGGTTTTGAAACAAATAATTTTAAATATAAAAGTCCAGGAATTCGCAGAGAGAGAGAGAGAGAGAGAGAGAGAGAGAACGATGAATCCACCAAGTTATCATTTTTGTAACTGACCGTTAGTTAGGAGGGCAGAAGATATTTATTTCAAATGGTAGGCGTTTTGATAGCTATCATTGCCCCTTCAGCTGACTTCAGGCTTCACAGTGGGCAGGAACATCAGAGTGAGAAAATTCGAGAGGGGGGAACAGAAGAGTGATTCCAAGATGTGAACGAGTCAGACAGGCACAAAGGCAGAGAAAAGATAAGATGAGAACTGTGAAAGTGGTAGAATATGGCATACAGTGGGGCCATGACAGTTTGAGGTCAGAAGTGAACTGCCGTTTTATAGACGTTTTTGCCGTATGCGTATACGTTGGCCAGGGTGCACCACGTAGAGGTAAGTCTCAACGGCAGGAAGCAATGTCTTAAGTTTTTTCTGTTGCATAATTTTTAATCCTAACAAGAAAATGAAATTAATTTCCTCTAATTAATGCTAAACCACCCTCCGCAAAGGAGCAAGATGAAGACGTTTGCATCACCTTGTTTGTGCACGTTTGTTTTTATTGCCATATGCTTTAGAAAGTACGCCCTTCCTGGTCCTCATTTTGAAAGGCTTAAATTATTAATTTTAAACAAATATGGCGAGTTAGCAGTTGCTATGGTAACTAAACTAGCTTCTGAATTTTGTAAGCTTCATTGGTCTCTGCACAGTGTGTGTGTGTTATATCTGAGGTTCAACGGCCGTACATCTGGACCCCATGATACTACCCTCAAATGTAGGACACTGGTCCGTCCTCTTTTTCTTACCTCGAATTGGTTCTCAAATAGAAGTGGAACGTGATTGAGTGCTCAAATTATCTAGTTGATGAGATCGAATCTTGGCGCTTTCTGATTCCTCACGAAGGTCTCAACTTTTGCTAAGTTTTAAGTTGCGGTATTCAGTATATCAAGCATTATTGGTTCAATAAACATGAGTAAGATATTTCAACCACTCTTAATTTCGCACGAAAGAGCCTTTCAACTACATTTTTGAAATTTCTCCCTTTTAGTACGTTCGAATAAACTATGACACGCCACCGGAAACCGTCGTGGAGTTACTGCTTCGTGAATGGCGTCTACGCGTGCCATCCTTGGTGATTTCCGTACTTGGAGGCTTGGTCAATGCGCCAATTCAAGCGAAACTAGCCTCAGTGATCAAACGCGGTCTATTACGTGCTGCCAAAACCACTGGCGCATGGGTGATTACCAATGGCCTTGATACAGGTGAGCTATCAGCCAAATTGCCCTCTTATGGACTTAATTCGAACTCTCCCGCCCATCATACTGAGATTTAAATTAAAACAATTTTGGCATTGAAAGGTGTTACGATTCATGTTGGTGAAGCACTGGGTGACGAGGTCCACGTGAGGGGGTCCAAAATCGTTGCGTTAGGCATCGCGCCTTGGGGGGTGATACAACAGCGGAATATGCTCACCGGCATTAATGTGAGTCGCTCCTATCTCTTCCCATATATCCTTATTCAAATTGCATTTCCAGCTTTCCGTTTACTCAAACTTTGGAAACGTTACTTACCACTTACCTTATAAATAGAGCATAGTAAACTTATAGATCCTTTGACCTATCTATAAGAGCAATGTACTTCTGAATTTCATTAGTTCTTTGATCTTCACTGAGCAGGAACTTTGTCAATTTTTTCGAAGTATGATGCAAATAAAGCAACAAGCATCTAAAACACGAATGCCCTTATGCAATTAATTGGTGAAGGCCGAACAGATGACAGAAAGAACTTGAGTCTGTGCATCGATATGAGTGATCAACAACTTGATGGCTAGATGAGAATGTTCGTTCCCAGCTCTAGGAGTACTAAAAATAGGATCCCAGCCTCTTGAAGGCAAGGCAATGCGCAAATGCGTGTAGAGTGTACTAATTAGGATCATATAGTCTTTTATAATGAGTCTGTTGGCAGAGCAGTTGCATGAGTTGGATAAGGAAATTGCAATCTATGAGTTTGACCAACCAGCGTATTAATCAATAATTCGATCCCCCCGCTACAACCTTTCATTTCAGGTCATCTTTTAACTTAACATGCCTCAGTAATGTGGTCAGTAATGTTTAACACTTATACTTGACAGCATACTTGCCACTACCACGCCCAGGGCACACTAGCGGGGCGCCAAGACACCGCTCTGAATCCTCACCACAATTACTTTCTTCTGGCTGACAACGGGACATCTGGGATGTTCTCCGGTGCTGGAATCTGTCTCCGGCGACGTCTTGAACAATACCTAGCTCAACAACCCATTGGTCTACGACGGCTTGGTAAGTTCATCATCAAGATGTTCATCTATTCGAGAGGGGAGAGAGGGATATATATATATATATATATATATATATATAGAGGTTCATGTTCCATCTGTTTGTTGGTCTGGTGAGATTGTAAAACAACATGCAATTCTTTGTTCCATTCATTAATCTGGATATCTATACATCTACAATATGTATCATCGTATGTAACCTTCAATGAGAGATTGGCATTGAACTCATTATCAATAGGGAAGATGACATCCCAATTTTTTATCCTCAAAACTTTAAATATTTCTACAATTTAGCTTTTACTGAGTAAATGCTCGAATAAAATAAACCATATTACAATAGAGTATTCCTGCGTGAATTTCGTAGAGGTGGAGTTTCACTCAAATTGTTGATCAGAAGCCCGTGGCTTGAGTGTGGTGTGTTGAGTAATTTTGTACATCGTCAAGATGAGGCGATCACACATAGTAAAAACGGAAGTTTATAAAGGAAAGAAGAATTTCCCCGAAATCGCCTTGGAAACCGATCAAGGACCTGAACAAACATAATTATCAAAGGAAAAATGTAATTAGTATTTAATTTTAAGGTAAAAAAAGATTGAAAGGGATGAGGGGAGGGTGGTGGGGTTGATTATTTATTAATTTATGTCAAATGGCAGGCGTTTTGATAGTTTTCACTAGCCCTTTAGCTGACTTTGGGCTTCACAGAGAGGAGGAGGAACATCAAAATGACAAAAAGTCGAGAGGAGGGACAGAATAATGATTCATAGATGTTAAAGAGACAGACAGACAGACACAAAGGCAGGGAAAAGGTAAGGTGAGTACTGTAAAAGGAGTCGAATATGATATGTAGTGGGGTGATGGTAGTTTGAAGTCAGAAATCAACTGCCAGTTAATAGACTTTTTTGCCGTATGAGTATACGTTGCCCAGGGTGCACCACGTGGAGGTAAGTCAATCGCACACCCCAGGGGTTGATTAGTAATTAAATCAAAATTTGTCAATTGACGCAATTTACTCAACTTCAAGGTGGCCACAAATCCAGAGTTCCTGTGGTTGGTGTTTTA